CTAGCGCAGGGGAGCCGCCTCAGTGCACCTGCGCCTGCGGTCGCGTGGCCGCGAAGGCGCGTGGTCGCCGGCACAGGCTCGCTGTCCACGGCGTGCGTCTGTCCCTGGTGGGCAGGGCGCGTCCGCCTCCCTGCCCGCTCACCCGCGCCCTGCCCCCCGCAGGCTGAAGCTGTCCCCCAGCCCGTCTTCCCGGGTCACCGTCTCCCGGGCCTCCTCAAGCCGCAGTGTGCGCACCGCGCGAGGGAAGCGGAAGAGAGTGGACGTGGAGGAGTCGGAGGCGAGCAGCAGCGTGAGCATCTCCCACTCGGCCTCGGCCACCGGCAGCGTCTGCATCGAGGAGATCGACGTGGACGGGAAGTTCATCCGCTTGAGGAACTCCTCGGAGCAGGCAGGGCAGACGCGCTCCCCGCGGGGCGCTGGGGCGGGCGCCTGGCGAGTGTCAGGACTGCTTGGGCATTGACCCGCGCTGGGCTGGGGGCGGGGATGGCTCAAAGGAGGCGGGAGGAGCGTGGGGACGGAGGGGAGAGGAGCCGGTGCCTTCAGTGGCGGCAGGGCGCCCTCCTTNCCCAGGGTCGTGGGTGGCAGTGGCTTCCTGAGGATGAGTTACTGTTCCTCCCGCCCTGGCGGGATTTCTGAGGAAGGTGCCGTGGGGTGGAAGGGGGGAAGCTTCCATAGCCGCTCAGTTCACGGAGGGAAGGAAACAGGAGCCAGACTCGCGGGGAGCGCTCTTCTCCCCGAGCGAAGGCTAGTGATTTAATTCGCATCGAGAGTGGTATGAAGCCCGGCCTTGAAATGATTGTTGACAAGCAGACAGCCCGGCCCGCGGGCTCCGCGGTTGAGCGCCGGCCCAGGATCCGGGCGCTGGGGGTTCGAGTCCCGGTCAGGGCGCATGCGTGCAGGAGGCGGCCATCCACGACTCTCATCACTGATGTTTCTCTCTCTCTCTCTGAAATCAGTAAAGATATATATATAAAAAGAAGTAAACATAAAATATTCCTGGGGGATTCCGGAGTTTCAGCTGGGTTTCGAGTAGCGAAGGCCCCTCCTGACTGGGCGCCGTGGAGCCGGGCGGCGAGTGCGCGGTGATGCTGGGGGAAGGCAGGCCTCGGGCGCGGGGGCACCGGCCTCCCTGAGGCAGAGTTTGTGAAAACACTGCGCTTCTCACCAGCGCCCTTACGGCTGTCCCGCGTGTGTATGGAGAAGTCATTTGGGTGGGCAGAGGAGACTAGCAGTGCCGGTACTAAAGGGAAGAGGTCCTCAGCCTTCCTCGTCGTCACGATTTAAATGCTCAGGAGCAGCAGCCTCTACTGCTCCGCGGCTGCAGTTTGGCTATTTTTCAAAAGGCATAGCAGCCCCTTTTGGAGCTGATCTGAGGCCGGCTGTCAGCCTGGCTTAGTCTTGTCTTTGAATTAGAGATGGCTGTAAATTGGTGCAGCTAGCTGCTAAGGCACGTCCTATACCTGCCCTCGGGTGTCAGGCAGGTCTGGGCGGCTTGGGGCCTGGAGTTGATAGCTAGCAGTTGGCTCCTTGCATCACTGACCCTTTTTGAGCCCCTTATGCTTTTTAAAAAAAAAATTTTTTTTTAAATTGTCTTTATTGATTTCAGAGAGAGGAAGGGAGAGGGAGAGAGAGAGAAACATCAATGATGAGAGAGTCATTGATCGGCTGCCTCCTGCATGGCGGACTGGGGATCAAGCCTGCAATCCGGGCATGTGTCCTGACCAGGAATCAAACCGAGATCTCCTGGATCCTAGGTTGATGCTCAACCGCGGAGCCACACCAGCCTGGCAAGCCCCTTAAGCTTTAGGTAAGAGAGTTAAATGTGGGCAGAAGTGGTACAGGTGCAGAAGAGAGACAGGTTTTCTTCCTTCTCTTTCTAAGCTATGTGTCTATATTTTAAAAGCTTAAATTAATCAGTATTAGATGTTTCTAATTATAATTACGGCAGATCTATTGTACATTTAAAAGACCCACCTGATGTAGCAGTAAATATGACCATTTAATTTGGTTCGTACCCCCTTCCTTCCAGTGTAGTCCTTTTTAAAATTAAGTACCTTAATAACTCAAACTGCAGCATTGTCAAAGTCACTGTTTTGCTGAATGATGAAGCCATATTTTCTTTTTTCTTTTTTAATTTTAGAGAGTAGAAGGGGTGGGGGAGTGGCAGGAGAGAGAGAGACAGACAGACAGACATTGATGTGAGAGAAACATTGATCGGTTGCCTCCTGAACGTGCCCCGACCAGGGATCCAACCCACAACCTGGGTAATGCGCCCTGACCAGTAATCGAACCTGTCACCTTTCCATGTACAAGACAATGCCCTGACCAACTGAGCCACATCAACCAGGGTGCTATATTTTCTTTATATAATAGGAAAATATGAATCATGGGAAGTCGGCCATAAAGCTAGATTAACTGCCTATGGACTAATTTGTTTGATTACTCCGTAACTCTGTGTATTTGAAGTGACCTTATTTTTTTTGTTCTGTGATTAGGATCAACCAATGGGAGGCTGGGAGATGATCAGGAAAATTGGAGACACATCAGTCAGTTACAAATATACCTCAAGATATGTGCTGAAGGCGGGTCAGACTGTTACAGTAAGTGCATTTAGTCATCATTTAACTTCATTGTCTTAACAGTTAAAATAATTCAAGGAAAATTTTGGCTTAGAGAAGCATTTTAGAAATGGGCATTAAAACGTCTTTGACATTAGTAGCAAATCATACATTCTATTAAAGATTTAAAAAGTTCTGTGTTATTGAGAGTGGCAATTGTCTATTAAAAGTAAAAGAATTGACCTATGAAATCTTTATTTTGTCTATACTAGTAGATATAAAACAGCTGTCTCTTGACTGATAATTGTAGCCCAAGGTAATTCAGAAGATACTGCTTGGCATAAAGAACACTTAGGAAGATAATCTACTAATGCTAGAGTCTGCCTTAAAGTCACAGCTGTTAGTCTCGGATGAGCATCAGAATCTGGATAGTGTTTTGGTGTCCGGGCCCTACTCACCCTTAGTCATCATCTCTAGTGTTGGGATAGGGACCTGCTTACATTCTCAATAGAAGTCATTAGGTGATAGGCACTATTGGAAAGTGTCTTTCCTTTAAACATAGTATTTTAGCAAGAGTTACATGTGGTTTTTACATAGTATCGACTGTTCTAGATTTAGAAAGATGGGCCCTGTGCCATTCTGATTCAGAGTTCTAAGTGGTTCTCTGTTGCTGTGTTCTGAAACATGGCATCTTCACTAGTTACTAAATATCATTTGCTCACTTTTTGGAGAAGTATGGTCCACTGATCAACCACAAGGCTCCTTTGCTCTTTCTTAGTAGGTAGATTTGGCAAGCATTAACACATGCTAACTTTGATAGAGATCTTTAGGAAGTCACTATTTCATCCCTAAAGAATGTAGAGATGACCCTTTTGATCAATTCTTTTAAAAAAATATTGAACATGTTTTAAATTTTAACATAAACCTTATTTAGTGTCTATGGTCAAAGGTTCAAGAGGTTAGAACTTCTCTTTTAAAAAGTGTATTTGTAGAGTTTGATGCCACATTGTGAAAATATCAGATGCTAATTTTATAATAATGGGTGAAAATGGGAACAAATATCCTTTCTTCTCCTTAGTAATTACTATAGTGAGAGGAAATTGCTCAGTCTTATATATCTTGTGGAAGCTGCATAATGTAGTGGAAAGTATCTAACATTTTAATGCAGAAGATTCAGATTTGAGTGCTATGTATCTCTTTAAAGTAATGTGAATCCATTATGCCAATCATCACATTTTTCCAATTGCATATAGTTTCACAGGGACTAAATAGATATATATTCTATAGGGCTAGTGAAGAGCTCAGTTGCCATATAAAATACTTAGTACGTTTTTTCTCTAGTTGGTAGCATTAAATGTGTGAAGAAGTTCTTTGGAACGTGGTAGTGATAAGTGGTTGTTCTATAAAATTGTACAAGGCAAAAACAAAGTTGAGATTTAAACTCTAGAAATAAGAGAACTACATAGGTAATTTTGAATTTTCTTGTAGCCACATTAAAAAAAGTAAAGAAAGATTGAAATTAACTTTAGCACTACATTTTAATTAACCCACTATATCCAAAATATTATCATTTCAACATGTGGTCAATATAAAAATTATGTCAGATATTTTACTTTTTTTTTAACTGAGTCTTTCAACTTACCAATGTCCTTATGGCATATCTCAGTCTGGACCAGCCACATTTCAAGTGTTCACAGCCACATATGGCTGCCATGTTGAATAGCTCGGCTCTAGGACATGAATTTGAGGTTAAATTACCCAGTAAGATTACTTATTAACACTAAACCAATTATGTGATTCCCACGTGGACTAGTGAAAAGTATTGCTTGCAATTAGGAAAACACTGTTGTTCCACATAATCTCAGAGTCGGCCCAGATCCAGGTCCTTTTTTTAGTTTTCTTCCAATAAGTGTCCCCTGGCCCTTTCCATTGATAATGCTGATGGGACATCTGGAAGCTTCAAGTGAGCATCTAAAGAGGAAGGGCTCTCCTAGTCAGTAATTCATAGAATTTTTTCCCCCCATTTAAAAGTATACCTGCCTGTGCCGTCTCCAGTCTCCTTTTGCCATCAGATAGCTGTTTATATTGTAAAACAATTTTTGCAGCAGAGAACTTCTCTGTTTTCATGTGATCTTTCAGAAAGATCAGGACTGGCAGTCGTATCCCTACAGTTGAGGACATTGAGGTTCACAGTGAGTTGTCCAGGATTCAAACCTACCTTTTCTACTCTAAAAGTTTTCTGCACTTTACCCGTACTCTTCTGCCAATAAATACATTAAAAATATGGCAGAATTTCCATGCTGATGAGAAGGAAAATATAATTATTTTCTTTATTTTTCCTATTTCAATAGCAGTCATATTATCCATCAAATAATGAATGATTTGTTTATCTCATGTATTCTTTTCCAAGTTCAGTGTCATGTACTCTGTGGTATTGTGACACTGTTCCTGGTTGGAGACATATAAATTTCCATGAGTATTCTTGATGGGCCGTCTGCTGCAGAAGGTTTGAGAGAAGTTATCTCCTCAGTTCCTGCTCTAGGCAGCTGGAGAATAGGTACTGTGGGAGGGGGTCATCCCTTAACATGAAGGATGGCCCATAAAACCCATAGGACTGATAGAATGCTAACAATGAGAGCTCAGAAGCTTTGAGAGAAGTTATCTCCTCAGTTCCTGTTCTAAGCAGCTGGAGAATAGGTACTGTTGGAGGGGGTCATCCCTTAATGTGAAGGATGTCCCATAAAACCCATAGGACTGATAGAATGCTAACAATGAGAGCTCATGCTCACTGAGAGAGCCAGCCACTCTGTGTGGGCAATCACTTGTTCTTGATGAAAACCTCACATATTAGAGGTACCGTTTCTGTTCCATTTTATGGATGACAAAAGTAAGGTAACTTTCTCAAGGTTGCCTGACATGTAGAGGAGCTAGGGTGTGAATGTAGGCAGCTTTACTTCAGAGTCCTATGTCATCGTTTTCACTTATCAGATGAGGAAGCTGCAGCCTAGATAAGCTCTGTGGGTCCTCCTTAACACAGCGAGTTAGTGTAGCAGGTCTGAAGCTCAGGCACAGCTCGGAGATGTAGAATCAGCCCCACAGGGTATTCAGTGCTCGTCATGTTGCTGTCATCGGGACATGGATAGCTGGGTTCTGAGTAGAACAATGTCCTTTTTTATTTCCAGATATGGGCTGCAAATGCTGGTGTCACAGCCAGTCCTCCCACCGACCTCATCTGGAAGAACCAGAACTCCTGGGGCACTGGCGAAGACGTGAAGGTTATACTGAAAAATTCTCAGGGAGAGGTATGGCCCTTTTATCAGTACCACAGTGATGTCAGTTTCAGCTGAATGTTGATCATACAAGTGTGATTTCTTTGCAAAAATCAAATTGAAAAGTGACTGACTGATTGCTTAAATCAGACTAAGACTGCTGCGTAATTCAAGGAGAAGCTAACTTCAGATTTGGGGATGAAATGTGAGTGTCATAGAGCACTGGTGATAGCACAGGCTCCAGAGTCAGTCTGGGTCGAGGGTCTGTCTCCATGGCACACTGGTTTTGTGCCTTTGGGCAGCTTCCTTCACCTCTCTTAGTTTTCTGTAAAATGGAGATAAGACACTATAAATGAGACGGCATTAATTTAATGAGAGTAATACAAATGAGACTATCCTTGGGAGGTGCTGGAAACAACATCTGGCCTCTAGTGAATGCTTATGTTATTAACCTCGTCACTGGCTCTCAGAGTGTGTGTGAAACTGAACTTGAAGACTGTGGAGTTTGGAGATCTGCTTGATGTGTATGTTTTCAACATGTCAGACCTAGAATTCTTGTCAAAGCACCTTCCCCATCCAGAGCTGTCAAGTAAAGTTGCCTGGTACCCTGCCTTACACACACACTGAGAGATGAAAGTGTCTGGAGGAAGGAGGTCTCAGGTCAAATCGCAGTGTTCCCTGAGGGGCTCCTCTCCCCTGGAGGCCAGGTGCAGGCCTTGTACCTGCGCAGTCCTGGCCAGGTGAGCCCCTCTTACTAGAGTAGTGGATACATTGAGGGCAAGGACCTATTCTGACTTTTCCTGGCTGTGTGCCTGGCACATGATAGGCATTCGGCAAGAACTTACTGGGTAAGTTTTTATATAAATCAAATGTGGACCTTCACTTAAGTTCAGAGAAATAAAGTAATTAACAGCACTCATTATGGCGCCTGGGAGATTTGCATGAGAAGCCCTGTGCCTGGCCCTCCTCCCATCCTCTCTCACTGTAAACGTGCTGATGATCAGACAGCTCTATGCCAGGAATCCACTGAGAACTGAGGAGGCCCCTTGTTTCAGGCTGAGGCTGTGAGTGAAGCAGTGTCTCTTTTTCTCTGTACACCTCAGTATAGTTATGTGAGATTTTTGGGTGCATCTGGAGAATTCACCTCTGAATACTTGCTGAGTCCTCAGGGCAGAAGAGTTTACAAGTGCCCTCAGTAATTCACAGGCTTCAAGGTGCCAGGTCTTCCTCCCATCCTCTGCACGGAAACCCCTGCTCGCTGCCTTTCAGCACTTTGGAATCCTTCCCAGCTGTCGCAGGTGCTGCCATGTACGTGCTAGAATTATTGTAGCTCCTGTGCTGGTAGTTTCCCCAATAACTGAAATTGGCAGAGCGCACATCTCTTTCAGAATATCATATAAGCGGTGATTGGCTCAGATTGAAAGCGCTATTATAAGGCAGATGAAATAGGCTTTTGTGAGCTGTGGAATCTGGTCGCCATCCATAGCATTCTCTGAAAATGTGTTCCAGGTTAGACGTCATCTTAATAGGAGGATATTCAGGATGCAGCAGGTTCAGAAACCCACACAATAGATGCAATGACATGAACAAAGTAGATACCATAACATGGGATGTATCTCAGGGTAGTATCATCGGTGACATTTCCATAAAGCTAACTGAAGCTCCGGTTTCCCTTCATAATTAGAACACTGATTCTCAGATGGTTGGCTTATCTGTTCTGTGAACAAACTCTTGCTTCCTGCTTGCTGGGCTCTATTAAGTGATTTCTGTGGTCATCAGACGAGTACTTTGGGCACCTATTTATTAAATCTATAAAACTATGTTTATTAGTAGGTTCCAGACCATATTTGCAACAATCTGTAATTAGCACCATAAAGATCACTTTTCTGTAAGGTTGAAGGTAATTGGCTCAAGTCAGTTTCATTTACTATGTATATTTTCATCTTGTCCGGTCATTGAAAATGTCAGAAAACCCAATTAATCTAGCTTTAAAATAATGGGAATATGTGGGTTCACAAAACCAAAACTCTAGAAATAGTAGACTTGACCCATTGGCTCACTCAGTGTTCCCAAGGATCCTTCTGTTGTCTGCTTCCTCAGTTGTCTCCCCGGTGGAGTAAGGATCACTGCTGGCTATCAGGCTGGCTTTGTGTGGGAGTGTCTGCCCTGTGAGGTCTCTGTCCTGGGCTTCAGTCTTAATGTGCCCGCTTGGGTCACATGCCCACCTCTAAACCAGCTCTGGAGTCAGGAGGACAGTTAGAACTCAAGCCTGCTTCCCTGTTGCACAGCTAAGTCACACTCAGCTCCTTGTGACACATGCGTCACCTCTCCATGGGAGAGATGGGTATCCACGTAGAGCTGGGGCTCTTACTGAGAAATGAGGGAGGGGATGTTAGATGATTAAAAACATGATAAAGCCTGGCTGGTGTGGTTCAGTGGTTAAGCACTGACCCATGAACCAAGAGGTCACTGGTTTGATTCCCTGTCAGAGCACATGCCCGGGTTGTGGACTTGACCCTCAGCAGGGGGTGTGCAGGAGGCAGCTGGTCAATGACTCTCTCTCATCATTGATGTTGCCTTCTCTCTCTCCCTCTTCCTCTCTCTCTCTCTCTCAAATAAATAAATAAAAACATTAAAAAAAGAAAAATTGTAGACCTAATTAAAAAATAAAGACATGATAAATAAAAGTGTGTTTTTTATGAGGGAAATATAAAGTAAAGCAGTCTCTCTATACCTTGCAGAGTATAGGCATAACTGAAACTTGTATATGCAAATGATTATTTAGATATACAGAGATATCATAGTTTAACAATTGGCTCCTCCATGAACAAAAAAATGCCCTGAGTTGTAGCATTTGCTGATTTCTGTGGTATATCTACTCCCACCGTGGTGATTTCAGGCCACCAACATGCCCTTATGGATCACAGAGGTGTGAATAGGTGAGCACGTTAGCAGGTTCTAGGTGGCCTGGTGCGCCGCTGAACGGATGGGTTGCCTTGATGTGCCCAAGGCCTTACCGGGTAGACTCACAATGCATCTTATATAGAGACCATTTGTGTGTGCCTTTCAGGACACTTACAGGTTTGGGTATCTTGCTGAGTGGTAAAGACATTTATCTATTAGCACCTTGGGTAATAACAATTTCCTGGGCCTAAACCTAACAACGTTTTGTTCTAAATTTGTTCTATTATTTTTCTGTCTAAATTTTTAGACAGTAGTTAGCTCATTCATTTTCCATACAGGCTTTCTGTATTAGAGTAATTGGCTTTTAAATGTTGTCAAATGAAAAGTGCTTAACTGCAGGTTTACATGAAAAGTAGTTATGTTGAATTCATTATTAATGGAGTTGGGGCAAGTTGCTGTTTTCTAAGTTTCCCATTTGGCCTCTAGTTTGAAGCCAGTAGTCCTGTTACATCATGAGCTTTAAGAGCCAATGTTTCCATATGGGACGTCTAAACTGGCACAGGCTGCCTGAAGCTAGAATGTGAGGAATCTGTAACAGATTTTGAAGTTTTTCCTTTTACTTTAAGATGAATTGAGGAAAGCTAGGCACTTTGAAAGCTTTTTGAGAATCTTTTCTGTTTTGTATGCCACCATCTCCCAATCAGTATCTTAGTTCAAAGAATTGTAATCTAATGACTCACGTGCTGCTTTATTAGTGCTAATTTTGCTAAAGCAGGCAGGTACTTGTGTAATGGCTATTTGTATGTGTAGACATAGACCGATCTCACAGAATTGAAGTTTCCGACTAATGGGGAGACTCAAAATGGTCCATCTTACCTGGCATTGCAAAATTCCCACAAAATACTACTGTCCTGCCTTACTTCACTCACAGTGTATCCTTGGACATATTTAAAGTTGTCTCATTCCTATGACACTTTTGGTTTTCTTCCACTGCCATTTTAAACTAGCTGGTCTGTGTGAAATTTCAGATAAGCATTCACTGACATTACGTTAGCGCCTTCCTCTTCCTATAAAGGAGTTTTCTTTCTTTACTGACCTTAGGACATGTACAGAGTGAAATTAGATGCTCTATAGCACTCTAGGACACTCACTTACCTGCTGCTGTTCATCAGGTTGGCCTTGAGCTTAAACAAAAACACTGCTGCATTTGGGAAAGTTGTCTATATTTGAGAGCCTCTCGGTAGAAAATGGAAATAATGGTTATTTCCCGTCCTACCACTAGTGAGTGACAGGAGGTCTGTTTTATGTGTGGAATATGTTGGAACTTCACTAGTGTGTTATTAGTAAACATTGCTCTTTGGTCTTGATTCCATTTCATTTGAAAGGAGCCAGTTGCTGAAGGAATGAAAGGAGCTTGTCCTTCTCACTCGTAAGAGGGCCTGTTGCTACCATGGTCCATGAGATCACAACGGCTGGCCTCCAACTTCTTTTTTTTAAGAAAGGATTTTTAAAATTGGGTTTTAGAGAGAGAGGAAGAGAGAGGGAGAGAGAAATATTGATATGAGAGCGAAACATCTGTTGGCTGCCTCCTGCGTGCCCCCTACTGGGGATTGAGCCTGCAACCTGGGCCGTACCCTCACCAGGAATCGAACTGGCAACTTTTGGGTGTGTGGGATGACACCCAGCCAACTGAGCCACACCAGCCATGGCTCCATCTTCATTTTATTCAGCATTTGTATAGCACCTTCTCTTTGCTGGGAGCCAAGCGAGAGCTTTACTTTCGGTCACATGGAGTGCTAGAAGAATTTAGTGTGCCAAATCATTTGCAGAATTCTTAGTAACAGAACGGGATAAAAAGCAGTGGAAACCTCTCAGCAGGCATTTCAAATTGGACACCTACTCCCCTGCAGGAAGGACTGAAGATCTAAGAACCGCTGTTAATTATGCAAAAATTCCTGTTCAGGGTGAACTACTTAAAAGAAAGTCCCTAATGTAGGAATTCTGTTTCTTAAACTTAAGCAAAGAAAAGACTCCCCTCCCCTAAGTGTGGTTTTAACTTAAAATCAAACTGCTCCTGTTCTTAGGAGGTTGCTCAGAGAAGCACGGTCTTTAAAACAACCCTCCCCGAAGTGGAAGAGGAGGAGGAAGAAGCAGCTGAAGTTGCTGTCGAGGAGGAGCTTTTCCACCAGCAGGTACGTTCAGTATATTTGTGTTAAATTTCATCATCAAGAATTACATGAAAACCAAACCCAGGTCGAGTTTGGGTTTTGCCTTGACTGATCAGCCAGCCTGGGGTTCTGTGAGTGGGGTGTGTTTTTCCCAAGGAGATATTTAAGGTAGTATGGTAAGGTGCTGCAAGAAAACATTGGCACGCCTTTTTAAAGCATTTTCTCATTTCCAATTTCAGTTTTGTTTTGTTTTTTAATGTACCGAATATGTTATTGTAGGACATGGTTTAACACATATAAGTGAGTATATGTAATTAGAAAACATGCTCAAAATTACTTACTTAAGGGTCCTGAGATTGAGAAGTTTACATCACTAAATTAGAGTAAGCATCTGCATGTAAACTTAAAAAAATAACAAAGAGCAACATTCAACTTTGGTAGGAAACAAAATTGTTACTCTGTTAAGTTCCTAATCATCTAATTGCAAGATAGATTTTAGCTGATGCTTGGGCTTTTGAGAGCCCTTAAAGTAAAGAAACTCCAAATTTTATTTTAATTAATTAAGTTGGAATTATTAATAACTAACAAGCCTTCAGTTTATATTCGTAAGCTGTTTAAGTCTAATCATTTATCAAAACTGCTATCCTTATAAGACTTTGTCTCCAGGTTTATAAGTCTGTTCGTTTTGCTTTATCAGTCCCAATCCTACTCTAAATGAACATTGTCTTATGTGTTTAGTACCCATGGTTGAGAACCATGCAAGGTAGAATGAATTTTTGGCTTGGATACTTCATACATTTCAGGGAATATGTAAGAACAGATACTTTAGACTTGACTTCACTAAGAAACAAGCACAGGATCCATTTCCTGCCCTTAATGAGAAGTGTTCTAATGACTGAAGTAAAGTAACAATGTCAGATACCTGAAGGTGCCAGGCCAGTGGCTCAGAGTGTGAGCCATAGTAGGTCAGACACTGGAGAGCGCTCTCTGGGCCGCTGGAGTAGTGGAAATCTCTGGGAAATATGCCTGTCCATTATTTTAAAGGATGGGCAATTGTTTGGGTACGAGGAGCAGCCCATGGTGTTATGAGGGTGTTTGAATTATTTGTTGTTACACTAACAAACCACCCCAAAACTCAGTGGCATAGAACAATGATTTCTTACTTCCTATGATTCTGGGGTTGGCTGGGCTCAGCAGGGTGATTATTTTGCTCTGCATGATGGAGACTGAAGTTAATCATGCAGTTGCATTCAGCTGGGAGCTTGGCAGGGCTGGAATGTCCTCCACGTCTCTTTCTATGTGGCTTCTCATCGTTCGGTAGTTCATCTCAAGATCTACAGTGTGGCAGCTGGCTTCCAGGAGGGTGAAAACAGAGAGCACTAGACCTCTTAAAGGCTCGGCCCAGAACCGGCATGGTGTCCCTCTGCCACCTTCTCCCAGTGAGAGTAGTTGTAAGGCCAGCTCCAGGTGACGGGAAATAGTCTCCACTCTACTTATGGGAGGGGTGGCAAAGAATTTGTGATGATCTTTAGTTGATCATAGGGGGTATGTCAGGACTTAAGCACATGTGTGCATCCAGTTGTACTGTGGGGCGTGTGTGAGAGAGAGTCGAGCTGGAGGGTGGGTGTTAAATCGACATAGTATGGAATGCCCAGGCAAGTAGCTGGTGCACACTTTGGAGCAGAAGAGAAATTGAAACAATATCAGAGGGATTGACTCTAGAAGGGGGATTGCAGACACACCAAGGGACTTTTTATTTATTTATTATTTTCTTATTTTTATTTTTTTAAATATATCTTTATTGATTTCAGAGAGAGGAAGAGAGAGGGAGAGAGAGAGATAGAAACATCAATGATGAGAGAGTCATTGACCAGCTGCAGCCTGCAACCCGGGCATGTGCTCTGACCAGGAATCGAACCCCGATCGCCTGGATCCTAGGTCGATGCTCAACCGCTGAGCCACGCCCGGCCGGGCACCAAGGGACTTTTTAAAAAAAATTTATTGATTTTAGAGAGAGGGAAAGAAGGGATGAGAGTCATCATTTGTTTTCCCACGTATTCATGCACTCATTGGTTGATTCCTGTATGTGCCCCGACAGGGCATCAAACCCACAACCTTGGTGTATTATGAGGATGCTCTAACCAACTGAGCTACCTGGCCAGGGCACCAAGAGACTATTTAAATGCAGACCTATTAAGGCTTAGTGGATGAACTTGAGGGTGAGAGAAGAACAACAACGATGTGTGAGGTTTTTAGCTTTTGTGATCAGAGAACATAAAGATAGGAAGGTTAAAAAAGAGAATATGGAAGGGAAGATCAGCTAGTTTGACTTCACAGTGGAGAGCGAATCCAGTGGCCTTTCGAGTTGATGAAAGGTAAAAGTTTTTTGGTGACCCTCACATTTGACGATGAACCCACTGAGGATCCAGCCAGCATATTCTAGTCTCTGATGTGGTTGTTCAGAATGGAGTCCACCAATCTTTCCTAAGTTATAAAAGGAGATTAGTGAACAGTGGTTTTCAACTTGGGTTGCATATTAGAATTAATGTAGGAGCTTTAAAATTTTATATAAATAGATTCTCATTTAATTGATATAGGGACCTAGATCAGAATTATTTTTTTTTAAAGCTCCTTAGTGTAGCTGGAGTTGAGAATCACTGTCCTGGGATTTGTTGGAGTTTTCTGGGGACGAAGTCCTGAGAGCTGGATAAAAAGGGTAACTGAGAAATCATGAGGATCCATCTGAAGTAGACAATACAGGTTTGTAGTTCCTCTCATTTAAAATACCATGATCCACTTTCTTAGTACTAGTATCTCCTTCTGTTTTCCTCATCAGGGAGCACCGAGAGCATCCAATAGAAGCTGTGCAATTATGTGAACTTTTCAAGCCGACTGTCTTCCTCGAAATAAAGAAGTATGGTAATCCTTACCTACATGCAGTGCAGAGCCTTCTCAGAAGCACAGAATATTTTTATATTTCCTTTATGTGAATTTTTAAGCTGCGAAATGATGGCCTTAATTTCCTTTTTTGACACTGAAAGTTTTGTAAAAGAAATCATATCCATACACTTTGTTGCAAGATGTGAATTATTGACACTGAACTAACTGTACTGTTTGGAAAGGTTCCCTCAAATTTTTTGACATTTTTTGTATGTGTGTGGGTTTTTTTTTTTTGGTGGTTTTATTTTTTTAAGTTCTTATGAGGAGAGGAGGGGGGGTCAGTAAACCACTGTGTCTGGGCGTAATCTGAAGATTGCTCCATCCAGATCAGCAATCTGCTCTTGATCATGCTCTGCTACATATGACGGTGCTGTGAGGGGGGGAAGTGTTTTTCAATATGTCGAAATTTTGTACTGAATTTTTTTGTAATAAACAATCATGGCTACAGTTTTTTTTAATAGAAAAGAGAAATTTTGTAAGATGGCAATATTAACCGAATCATGTAAGCACTCTGGATGAAGGATTCCACAAAACTTTGTTTTATGGTTACTTCACGTAGATTCTTAATT